GCAGGTGTTTCTCAAGGATCCAAGTCCAAACGGTCCAAAGGACGCGCTGCTGAGGGACGGATTCACCGTGGGAGACGGACATGACAGCTCAAGGACCTGGATCCCACCCAGGTGGGACGCACACTGTGTCCAGCTGGTCCAGACCCAGCCTCGCTGGCATTCGGGCGGTGGGAGAGCACGAGAAAGATCTCTGTTCTGTCTCTCATCGGCTACTTGCCCCAGGATTCTCCCTGGCTCAGGCTGGGTCCATCTTCGCGCTATGCAAAGTGTGGTCTGCAGGGGACGCTGGTCTGTGCAGAGTCCGAAATTCAGAGGAAAAGTTTAGACCACAGAAAGGCAATCAGTGGAGATTTGAGTATGTGGTTTTTTAAAAAACAGATGCACACGCAGATCTGTGTCGAACAAACAAAAATACTGACTCATCTCATTCCTGATGATTGACGAGCCAGTGATTTAAAGCAGGACACTGAATAACATGGGCGACCTATTATTGCCTCCCAGGTCCTGCCTGCTGTGTAGAATGCCAGTTACTGACATCAGGCGGTGAAGCAAAGCAGGGATTTCTTGCGAAACGCACAGCAAAGAGCTGAGCAGCTACTGCTTGATTCCTTGGGCTCGCTGAGAAATTAGGACAGACAGTTCTCACTGGCTGGAACTGGGGCTACAGTTTGCATGTTGAGCTCCTGGCTGGTTGGCAATGCACATGGCCTCCCTTTGTTGGGCAGCGAGGACCCATGAGGCCCAGCCGGGCTTCCGCTGGTCAGGGCTGGTTCCGTGCCGGTAGGAGTCGGCTTGCACGCTGGATCTGGAAAGTCCCTGCCTGGGCCTGGAATTCCCCTGCACAGGCCCCTCAGGACCAAGCTGGCCACTGGGTGAGCAAAGACTCTGCCGTGTCAGGCGGTCAGGCCCGTGTCAGGCCAGCCTTGCCCTCCCTCAGGCCACTGCATGCTTTCAGAGCCAGGACAGGCGACGGCGCCTGCTGCTAAGGGAGACAGACAAGAGGCCCTGCCCTCCTTCACACCGGAAGGTTTCGGTGTGAGAGCACCTGCTGTGTGCCTGAAGTGGAAGCGACTCCTTCTTGGTGGCAGTGGTAGCTCCGTCAGGAGCGGGGCTGAGCCTGCTCCGGTGGCTGGCTGCATCCTGACCCTCTGTGGTTTTGGCAGGTGCCACTGCTCAGTTCCGGGGGCAGGCGAGCAGGGCCTCTGATGTCGCTTTCCATCCCTTTCTTTCTTAGCGACATTGAAGAAGGATTCCTCACCGACAGACGTAGGTTACACTCCTTAAAACTTTGCCGATTCACTACAAGCCGTGGGAAAAGTTTATTTGGTATGACAAGTTACAGTATTCGGTGCTCCATTTTACGTAAAAGGGAAAAACTGGCCCCTGGAGCCTACAGATGATGGAGCTGAAGAGATTTTTCTTTTTGAACACAGAGATTCCTTATTTAATACTAAAATACCAAATGAACGCTGTGTGGAATATCCCGCACATCACTGGGTCTTAAGGATGAAAAGTTTGGCCAGTACAGTAAAAGCAGTAATGCTTAGCCAGAAGGTGGCCCTGGTCTTGCAGCCCTGGCAGAGCTGTCCCCTCGCTGGTTGCCACCTCAGAGTTCTTGGGCCCCGGGTTTTTCCTCTGCTCTGCCTTTACAAATCCCCGTTTGGGGTTCAGGGAAGTGGGAGCTCAGAGCCAAGTAGGAAGATGGTAATGGCCATGGCAATGGAGTTGAGCTCCGGGCACAAGCCACGCACCGTGCTTGGGCAGCCTTGGAGCCATCGGACTCAGCCTAAGTAGGTTGGGGAGTGTTGAGGGCAGGGAAGTCGGGACCATTTCAGACTCCAGTGAGGTTTCAGAGGACAGCGTGGAGTCCTCGCTGTGTCAGCGCAGCTCGGGGCAGGTGCTGCGTGTGTGAGTCTGGCCTAGTAGTGAGTTCTTAAAGCTCGTTTTCTTGCTCTATAAATAGGGATGTTGAGGGTTGTTGTGAGGGTGAAATAAGGTAACACACGTCAGATTGCTAGTACTGACTTTGCCTGTGGGAGTGTATAATAGACTGCATTATAAACCTCCGAGTCCATGGTGTTGGAGGCCCTTCTCCGATTCGGCCACAAGAGGGCGGCACCATACCGTCCTCCTGCTCCCCTCTGCCTTTGACCCTAGACAATTCTCTTATTCCATGATTTTTTTAAGAGTGATTTGTGTGTGTGTGTGTGGGGGGGGGGCTGATATACAGACAGAGGTAGAGACAGAGAAGGATCTTCCATCCTCGTTCACTCCACCAATGGCCGCAGCGGCTGGAGCTGAGCTGATCCAGCCCGGAGCTGCTGCTGGGTCTCCCGCAGGTGGAGTCCAGGATTCTTCCCAGAGCTTGAAGTAAGGAAATTACCTGGAAGAATGACTTGTTTTCCTTTCCTAAATTTTACTGAACAAATGTTTAGTGAAGTGAAAGGTTTTTCTGCATTGTAACCCCAAAGCATTCTACAGGATTGGAGCTCCGTGGAAAGTTGCGCGTGGGCTTCCAGGGCGTGTGTGTGCCTTGGACTGAGCGGGGCGAGGCCAGTGGGTGACGCTCTGACTGCCATTGCCCCTTGACTTTGGGAGGAGTTCCAGAATCTTCTGGGCTCCCAAGGTGAAAGGCAGGACCCACCTTCCTCCTGGTCTTGGCTCTCCTGTGACCTGCACAGTGAGCGTTTGGGGAGCGCGTGGGGAGCGCGTGGGCCGCTCCCTCCTGAAGCCGCTCTGCTGCTAGCTTACCCCAGGCCATGGGCTCTCTCTCTAGCTGATTCAGTTTGGTTTATAGACGCCCAGGGGCAGTCGTCCAGGCTGCGGCTGTTTGGGGTGCTGAATGCCAGGCCGCACAGTCTGAACCCAAGTGCTGGTCCAGCCACCAGCCCTGACCTCTGCTCTCTGAAAGACTGCTGCCCCCTCACCCCATGCCCCCATGGCTCCAGTTAAGGGTGGTACAGGTCCCCCTGGGTAGCCAGTAGATGCCACCTCTCCCTGAGCACGGCGGCCGAGGACACACTGGCGGTTTCCTCCCCGCCCAGCTCAGGGTGTGCACTGCACACCTGTGCGTGGCCATCGCTTCCTTTGCCCCTGGTCCAAACCAAGGCCTTCCAGGCCCAGTGCTGGAATAGCTGTGTTGAAATCCTTGCAGGTGCTACTGCCGGGGCCGCTGCTGAGTCACAAGCAGAATTAAACAGCAACTGGAAACTATGTTAAAAGAAACGTTTAATGAGTATACATCTAAACAACGCTGTCATCGCCCAACACGGGGAAGGTATACGTAGATATAAAGGCCCGTGAATTTCATAAACATTTCCCCAGATTACAGGGAGACCTCTGGTTGGACTTTCTCACGTCAGCTTGTTAAAAAGGAACAGAGCACTCATTTGCCTCTGGTCTGACCTCCCTTAACTAACTGGAGGAGTCGACTTCGGCAAGATGGTGGCATTGGCTGAGGGGCGGGAGGATGGAGGGAGGGCAGGCTTCTCTGAGGTCGGGACTGCCAGCAGGGCCGGGAGGTCACTCGAGGAGTCATGGATGACCTTGAGGGAAGCACTGACTTTCAGAAGAGTTCGTGTTTGGTTAAGGGACGTGCTCGAGCTGTGGCAGTCCCTCTGTTCGGCTCTGAGTCTCGGCCGGGTGTGCCTTCCCTGGGCAGCGCAGTTAGCAGCACAGCTTCTCCAGTGCCCACAGCTTCTCCAGCACCCACAGCTTCTCCAGCGCCCACAGCTTCTCCAGCACCCACAGCTTCTCCTTCTCCAGCGCCCACAGCTTCTCCAGCACCCACAGCTTCTCCAGCTCCCACAGCTTCTCCAGCGCCCACAGCTTCTCCAGCGCCCACAGCTTCTCCTTCTCCAGTGCCCACAGCTTCTCCAGCGCCCAGTCGGCCCAGCCCCAGCCTGGGCACACCGGAGCGGAACCCCGAGAGCAGTGGGATCTTCCTGGCCGGTCTGGTGCCCTGCTCACAGCCTGACGCTGAGGTGGATCAACTAAAGGATCTCACGATCTGGGTGTGTTTGCAGCTTTTTTGGGAAGCACAGACTGAAATGGGAAACAAGTGCCTAATGTTGTGATGAAGTCAGTGAACACCCGAATCCGATGGTATAAAGTCACTTTAGCCAGAAATTGGCAAAGCATAATAAATGCTAGCCAGGGTTCTTTCTGAGGAAATAAATGAATCTATGGAAAAATGTTAGCAAGTGCAAAAATACCCTTGAAATGTTGTTTGTTTTAGTAAAAAAAAAAATGTAGAATAGACTATATATTCAGTGAGGGCACTGTTTAAGTAAATGCCCATTTGATGGATATTATACAGCTAGTGAATAAATTCACATATTATGGAAGAGAATAAAGCCTTTAGTAAGTTAAATGAATCAGAAAGGATGTAAATTTGAATACTCAGTATAGATATGACTGTTTTTGAGAAGTTTTACTGAAAAACATCCTGGATGGTGGGTGCGATTCTAAATATTCTAATCACCTCGTACAATGTGATAATAAAGGCAAAAATGAAAGACAACTAAATGACCGACCCTTGTTGAGCAGGGAGGAAATGTCACAGACGTGGTCATTCCCTTCCCCACTCTGCACAGAAAGGCAGAAGAACCGAGCTGTACATCCACGAGGGGTGAGGAGGGCGCGGGTCCCTTCCCAGAGCAGGGCGTCCCCTCCCCGAGCAGGGCGCGGGTCCCTTCCCAGAGCAGGGCGTCCCCTCCCCGAGCAGGGCGCGGGTCCCTTCCCAGAGCAGGGCGTCCCTTCCCCGAGCAGGGCGCGGGTCCCTTCCCCGAGCAGGGCGTCCCTTCCGCGAGCAGGGCGTCCCTTCCCCGAGCTGCTGCCCCCACAGCTTCCCAGGGCTCTTCTCATCCACCTGCTGGTCACGTGTATGATTCTGAATAAGTCACTTCATCTCTAAAATTATGATAGATTAGTATCAGAGCCTGCATCCTTGCGGTAGACATCAGTCTCATGGTTGGATTTTGTGAATTACAAAGCCCAAATAATACCAAACAAATGTAGTATAATTTCAAAAACATTTTCTTAGCCTGTTAGCTAATATTTAGGTTTCTTTCCTTGAACTGTTCTGTGTGAGGGCTTTTACGAACTCTTCCTTGTTTATTGCACATTGAGAAAAATCCAAAGTTCTAGCTCTACATTTTTTTCTCAGTCGTTGCAATCTGTTTCTTACAGAGGAAAAATTTTAAGAAAACCGTAAATTTCTGTCTACATATGTAAGGCATGATAACTTCCAATCAGTGGTGATTTTTCTTTTTGGTGTGTGTGTTATAAAATAGTTCTTCATAATGGACATAGATACAGGTGAAAACAAAGTTAAGGAAAAATATAACTAAGGAATTTAGCGAGACAGCTCTTTACAGTCCAACGGTCTCATTCCTTTAGCTCATCCGGCCCCTTTTCTTCACACTTTTCTCAAGCAATGCTTCTACCACCCTGCTTAACTCAGCCCTTGTAGGAGAGAAGGAAGCTGTGTAGAAATTCTCCAGAATTCCCAGCAGACATTAGGGCATTTGTGTTGCCCACAGACAGATGCCTCTTAGCATGACACCACAGTCCCAGTGCCAGCCCCGTGGCCCGGGAGAAGCGGCAGTCGGAGCCTGCAGGGGTGTTCCCCCCAGCCGGTCAGTGCTCACTGTCAGGCCGTGTTGTCACCGACCTCCAGCTGTGCTGGGAGAGCAAAGGGCTTCCTATTGCACCTGTTGTTCCTCTGCAAACACCCCGGAAGCATGAGTAGATTCAGCTTTGCTTCAGATGTCTGATTTTCCGTTCACTGCTGGTTTAACGGCTGCTGTGTCCCTTTCCCAGCCCTGGCGGATCCGCGTCAGGGTCCTGTCTATGCACGGCAGGAGGAGGATGAACTTGATCGCCAGGACGGTGCACGGGATGATGAGTGCCAGGATGTAGGCTGACGGCAGGTACCATCTGAGAGCTGATGGGCTGAGGAACCGCTTGCCGCCGTACACCAGCGTGTGCGCCGTGCACAGGATCAGGGTCACGAAGCCCAGTTTGGACTGTGAGCGAGAAACAGAACCGTGTACATTAACATGATGCAATGGATTAAGGTGGCACATTCTGTTGCAGCTTGAACAGAAGCTCATGCGGACGCATGCGGACGTTTAAACCCCAATGTCTGAGGCTGTGGGGTGATGGGCTAGAGTGGTTGATGGACTGAAGGCAGAGAGGGATCTGATTATGGCATGACAGAGGTGGGCCCGGGGAGAGCCCCTTAGCTCACGTGGGCTGGCCTGAGCAGGTCGCCTTCTAGAGGGTCGGTCATGTAAGCCGAGGGTGCTAACAATGTTTCTGCTCTCTCTCCACCCTGTTCTCTCTCTGTCACTCGCCCCCTGCCCCACAGCTACCTCCCCCACTGAGATAAAGAGCTCACAGGTGGCTGGCTTAATTGTGTCTGGCGTCTTAGGTTTGTGGTGAAAAAAGCTGACACTCCCTGCCTTGTTCCACAATCTCCCATCCACCTTCCTTCGACCTCAGCAGGTGCTGAAAGCAAAGGGGCAGCTTCATCCTGGGCTGTGAACCTGTGAGCTAGAAGCTGATATAGCCTAGTTCTTTCTCATTTTGCTCCTCTTCTAGTCACAAAAAACTGACTATTGCACACTGTAACCGATGAAGGAAGCTTGTCAGTAACCTCAGCATTTGAAATTTGTAATATTTAGGACTCTGCTAAGTACTGAAAAAAGGTGTGAAGATTCCTTCAGAATGGTAACCATTTCACTTTTTAAACCAAGAATTGGGCCCGGCGCGGTGGCTTAGTGGCTTAAGTTCTCACCTTGAAGTGCCGAGATCCCATATGGGTGCCGGGTCTAATCCCGGCAGCTCCACTTCTCATCCAGTTCCCTGCTTGTGGCCTGGGAAAGCAGTCGAGGACGGCCCAAAGCCTTGGGACCCTGCACCCGTGTGGGAGACTTGGAAGAAGTTCCTGGCTCCTGGCTTCAATTGGCATAGCACCGGCCATTGCGCTCACTTGGGGAGTGAACCATCAGATGGAAGATTTTCCTCTCTGTGTATCTGACTTTGCAGTAAAAATAAATAAATCTTTAAAAAACCCCAAGGATTGCACAGAGGGATAAACATGTCACACACGGAGACGCTGGAACAGTTGATCTCACTGAAGTGCAGGGTGGAATAGTGGATCCCACAGACTGGAAGGTCTTAGCGGGAGGACTAAGACACAGTATGACCCCAAGCTATACCGCATTACTGCCTGTCACTGAGTAAACCCAGATGCTACTTAATGACTATTGCAATGAACAACAGTGAGCCAACTTCGTTTGTTTTATTCTAAAGCACAGATTCTATGTCTGTCTTAATGCCTTGAACGGAGGGGTTATGAGAAAATGGGATTGCACTTAGCCTCAGGAGAAACTACAAGACTTGAAATTCAAATAGCTCTCTAAAACACAAACCTCATTTAAGTACTGATGGCCTGTGTTATTGTGGCTCACAATAAGCAGACATCAGAATTGTCTGGAGGTCTTGTTAAGACAAATGCCCGGACAACACCTGCAAGAGTCCTGCAGCAGGAGAGCTGGGTGTGGCCCGGAGAGCTGGGTGTGGCCTGGAGAGCTGGGTGTGGCCTGGGGAGCTGGGTGTGGCCTGGAGAGCTGGGTGTGGCCTGGGGAGCTGGGTGTGGCCTGGAGAGCTGGGTGTGGCCTGGGGAGCTGGGTGTGGCCTGGAGAGCTGGGTGTGGCCTGAGGAGCTGGGTGTGGCCTGAGGAGCTGGGTGTGGCCTGGAGAGCTGGGTGTGGCCTGAAGAGCTGGGTGTGGCCTGGGGAGCTGGGTGTGGCCTGGAGAGTTGGGTGTGTCTTGAATGAGGTGTCTGCTGGTGGACAGGTGGACAGAAACAGATTTCCCTGGAACAGTCTAGCACTGTTTGCAGCCTTCATCTAGTGTCTGTCTGTGCCAGTAAGCCGTGTTGTAAGGCCACTTTCCAATCTTTGCCGTTGCTTTTTTATTCTTATTCTTCATACATCTCTATACACAAAATTTAACAGCCAGTTGTGTTTTTTCCATGCTATAGCTTTAGCTGTGAATATGGGGGCCCGTCAGACACCCTGCAAGGAGTGAGCTACGAGGAAATCAAACCGTTATAGAATCTGCCCATTTGTTCCTTAGTTCAGTGTTTTCTAATTGGATTGTTAACACTGAATTTATTTGAGAGACAGAGCTGCTGTTTGCCTGTAGCAGGCAGCTTAATTTGGGTGCTGGGGAAGCAGACCTGGTCTTCCATAGGAGAGGCAGGAACCACTGATGTTGCCTCTGAGGGGCCACGCTAGCAGGGAGCTGGAGTCAAGGCCTGGGTAGGACATTGAACCCAGGCACTTGGGAACGGGCCTTTGGCATCCTCGCTGGTGTCTTAATGACCAGGCCAAGTGCCTGCCCCTGATTTGAATTTTGAAAATGAGATTGCTGGGGCCAGCACTGTGTTGTAGGAGGTAAAGCTGCTACCTGCAATGCCAGCTTCCCATATTGGCAGTGACTCATGTCCTGCTGCTCCATATTCAGTCCAGCTCCTAGCTAATGGTGTCGGGGAAGTAGCAGTCAATGGCTTAAGTGTTGAGCCCTGCTACCCATGTAGGAGATGCAGGTGAAATTCCTGGCCCTGCCCTGGACATTGCCGCCATCTAAGGAGTGAACAAACAGATGGAAGGTCTGTTTGTCTCTCCGTCTCTCTCTCTGAATTCTTTCAAATATTTTAACTGTTGTTTAGAAAAATGAGATTGCTAGGGAAATGCTGAAGCAAAATGAAGAAAAAGTTAGTCATCACATAACAGAAATTAGGATATTTGCAAAGCCATGTGCATTCTGCAATATTATAATGAAATCTTAAAGCCGTTACCTGCACAAATCGAAACTCTCTCCAGGTGACTGTGTTGCTAACTGATGGCAAGGAAGTGATTCCCAGGAGTACAAACAGAAAAAATCCGAGGATTCCCAGAGACAGGTATGAGTCACTAAGCCAGGCGGAGGAAGCACTAAATGGGTTTTCTTTCTTGGTCATGAGCTATGAAAAATTATAAGCATTAAAAAATTATGGCTTTTACAGATTGCCTACATGTTTAAAGAAGCTCAAAAATACATGCATGAGTATTATTTACTCAAAACAAATTACATGGTATTTTAAAATAGTGATTTACTAATAATTATAGAGAAAGACTTAGAACTGCATAATTTTTTCTAAGAAAAAGCAATTGGTTTTGCTAGGATTTTATTATAATACTTAATTCCAGGAGTTGTACAGAGAATTTTAACTTATCCTGTAAATCCTGAAAGAAGCTAAACATTTACTTAAACCTTAACCATATGGTTTTTTATTCCTCAAGCAAAGCTTAGTGTTCTCACATGATTGCATCAGAATTCCTTTTAGCTGTGTGTGTTGATTACTCACACCCACAAAGTACGGGTTCTTCCATGCGGATTTATGCAGTAACACACCATTGATGGTGTTTGAGAAGAGTTGAGTTACTTCTGCCTAAGTAACCCCCATGCGTTTCTTAGGGAAATAATGTAGAGAAGCCCATAGAATCGTCAGCAAGGGGTTACTGCTGCAGCCTCACACTGCGATCATAACGGGCAATATCATTTCTGAGCTGGAACGAAGAACACTTCCTCTTGGGCAGATGTAAAACTCCTTGAGCTGATTCTCTTTGATCCTTGGATCATGCCAAAGAGAACGGTTTATATTTGCTCACAGTTGTTTAGCTGACTTGTTATCCAGGGCAACTCACAAGCAGGTTGTAAACCACAACGCAAGGAGTGGTGACACAGACCGTTGAGTTCATTTGCGTTGCTGTGGCCTCCTTAGTTACCAGAAAGTTGATTTAGATTTCCAAAATGAGGTAACTGGCAGTAAAAAAAATCAAAGCTTGTAAACAAATGAGTGTGTTTACTTTTATTGACTGCCACCCAAAGGCATTGAAATCCGTGTCATTGTGTTTCCTGAGTCCTAAAACCTGCCAGTTGGTCAGCATCCCAGTGTGCTGTGGGAGTGTGCTGGACCCAGTGAACCCGGAAAACTAACTTTCAGTCCCATTAGTTATATGAGCTCTCAATTGGATAAACAAGCATGACTGTCGCACTCTACTTAAACACTAACGATGCCCAGAAAAGTGATCTAGAATTATGAAATGGAAACCAAAGTCCCAGAAGTTCTCTTTGATGTGAGAAGGCAGGGGAATATACAAAAAGGGATCTACCTGAGTAATGGTTGCATTTCTCGACCTCCATCGACCGTAATAGCGGATGGGAATCACCAGTGTGTAGAGGACATGAAGGCAGGCAAAGCCCAGTGCAACCAAGCCAAGCTGCTTTCGGCAAAGCATCCAGTGGTCCAGCCAGCCAGGGAATCGGCGGTATTTTGTACCATGGTACAGCTGGAGAATGGCAGCGATGACACCAGGCAGGAAAACCAAAGCCAGCAGCGTCAGTGCTGTGATGGGAAAGACTCGGTTCGGAATGGAAGCGGCCAAGCGGAATGTGTTGTCTTCCTTTTCGTAAACATACGGATAGATCACGTCTCTTACAACACAGTAGAAGAATAAGAAGACGCACAGCACAGCAGACAAGTAGAAGGGCATTCTCCACATTGGAAATAGTTGCAAGGGGTAGTTTTCAATTTCCTTGGCTGCTAGGAGAGACCCTTGGTCGAGTGGGGTCAGTCCAAGATTACGGACAACATCCATAACTCTTTGCTTGGCCTTGCTGTCATTTCCACAGACACACACCTGTGAGAAAGTAATTGATTATCTATTTGGTTTTTCAATTTAATACTACTTTGAAAATCTATAGAGGTTGAGCACCACTAATCCAAAATCTCACTTCAAAATGTTTCCATGCCCCAAGCCTTTTGAGTGCCGACAGCATGTTCCGAGCAGAAAATTTCATACAGAATTATTAAAAAATACTGTATAGCACTGTGTATAATCGTATAACTTCAGGCTTAATGTAAAAGCTGTGCATGAAGCACAATATGTGTTTGGACTGGATCCTCTCCCTGTGATAACTCATAATGTATAATATGTATCCACATATTTCATAATCCAGAGAAATCCAAAACCCAAAACACTTCTAGTCCCAGGCATTTTGATTATGAACTGCTCAATCTTTATAAGCAATATACAGAAGAAGATCATGGAGTGCTGAACCATTTTTCAAAACGATGATTTTGAATTATGTCCAGCAAGTGGATGTCTGAATCTTCCAGATGTGTGCTGGATAGTTAGGTACCAGAGGGTGCAGTCACACATGGCTTGGCACTGTGAGCAGCTTAATCTATACTGCAGATGCAGCATCAGTTAGGACCCTTCCATACAGAGTGTGGGAATGGAAAGCATGTCTGTGGTGCTGACAGGAGATCTGCCGAGAGTGACCCTATTGGACTCACCCCAACTAAAACCTGAGGGTGTAGACAGAGGATGTGGATCCAACAGTTGACTTTGGTCAAAACCCTGGAAAATTATCCATGGCACATACATATAAGCAAAATGAAATACATAGTTGGTTTTTTGGTAGCAATTGTATTTTGCAATATTTGGGAAAGTGCATACTAAAAGACCCATCTACAACACTGAGTGTAAGTTCATTTTGCCTTACCTGCCGGCTTGCATCTAGAGCTCCCGATTGCAGAGCCCATGCTGAGATTGTGTTAAATGCTTTCACCACGTGGGCCTTCGGCATCAGCTGAGCAAGGTACTCTGCGTTGGACTCTGGGTGCTCGTTGACTCTGAGGTTGTTACTGACATCCACCAGTATTTTCCCATTGAGAACCTCAGTTAGTTCTGTGAGAAAGCTGTAATGCTCTCTGTGGATGGTGAGGATTATGATATCAGACCTCCGGGCTGCTTCGGCGTAGCTCAGGACCTCTGCACCACTGGCGAGCAGGCTGGATGCCTGAGGGTTTCGACTTCCAAACACAACATGGTAGTCACACTGGATCATTTTAAATCCCAGTGACCTTCCAAAATCCCCAGTTCCAAAGATGCAGACAGTTTCTCGCTTTTCTGGAGAACTCATGGCAAGAGGAAGTGCATCTGTAGACATTTTATCCATAGCTGGAAAATAATAACATGAACACCCACTAAAATATAAATGCTCTGGGCATGGATAAGTTAATGATAATTATATCACGGAAATCCTATAAGCGGCTGACATTTGAATCTCCTAATTGTCTCAAGTGTGTTATTCCAAAATTTCAGTAGAGTGACAGTTGTTGCTCATATTTTTATATGAGCCTGGAGAAAAGCTTCTGTTGGATAAAGAGCTGCAGTGGGAAACCAAGACACACACATCTTGTGAACTATGGTGATGTGTTGCAATGACACTGTATGTATTGAACTCATGGTTCCCATGGAGAAATTTTGAAAATTAGGGTAATGACCAGGATGCTCATCCTATTAAATGCTAAAAATACTATGAAACTGTCAAAGGAAAAATTTCTACTGGAATGAGAAAAAAAATGAACCCAAATATCTATGATTAAGATGGTGTCTCAAGCCAATGGAAAAAATATGGATTGTTCAATAGCTAATGCTGGAGCAACTCAACGGCCAATTGGAAGGAAAAAAAAAATAGGAATGTATACTCATACTGCATTCCCAGGTGTAAAATCAAAACTTATAGAAGATTTAACTTTTAAAAAATAGAGCTAGACGAAATCCTAGAGAAGTATTTTACAAAGTGAGGTCTGTTTTCAAAATCGCTTGTAGATAGACAAACTTGATCATGTAAAAATAAATAATTCCTGCAAAGCAGAAACCAGTAAGAAAAATCAGGAGAGAATGAATACACTGAGAAAAATATTTTAAAAGTTTTACCGATCAGTAAGAAAAAAATCAATTGCCTATTAGGAAACTGGGCAAAAGGACTGAACTGTCAGTGCATCCTAAGGAAATATTAAAGACTTTGAAGAATAGTAAAAAGTCTTTAATTTTATCCAAAATGAAAGCAAAGCAGTTAAAGCTGAGATATTGTTATGAACCATGTGACTGTATTACTTTTAAAATATTTGTGAAATTTGAATAAAAAGTGTCTGTAATTTAATATAATCTAGGTTAGTATCTATACTTTTAAAGATTATTTCCCATTTCAGTGTTGAATTTCTCTTAAAATTGCTTCCTTCCTAACCCTAGTTTGAAAGTTTCAGTGTGTGCCTAGTAGACATATGGTGACCATGTGAGAAACACGGAGTTCTGGAGTTGGAAGTGGTAGGTAGTTTTTTCTGTGCTCTAGGCACTGTGAGACATAAAGAGGAGGAAGCTGGAATTTTGGACTGACCAATGGGGAGCAGTGAAAAAAAAAAAAGGAAGGCTTTTTTGTTTTAAGACTTATTGATTTATCTGAAAGATAAATAGAGAGAGAAAATCTGCCATTTACTGATTTGATTCACTCCCCAAATGGCAGCAAAGGCTTGAGCCATCTTCTGCTGCTTTAATGGCTGCATTGGAAGTGGAACAGGTGAGATGGGGAGTGGCACCAACGTGGGATGCTGGCACTGGAGGTGGTGGCTTTACCTGTTACGCCACGATGCTGGCCCTAGAGGATATGTACAGACAGGCATGACTTCCTTACTGCTAGTTTGGGCCAGTTGCACAAACTCCTGGTACCTCAGGTTGACCATCTTTAAAATGAGATCTTATAGGGCCTGCTTGAGATGTAGAGAATTAGATAAATGTTTGTTTTCGAGAGCCAAATTTTTCATTTGGAATGATTACAAATGCAGAAGACACCATACGGATAGTGCAGGAGGTCTCTGTGTGCCCTTTACTTACAGCCATAGCTACTTTTTATACAACTGTAGCATGGTACCCAGACCAGGGCGCTGCCATGGGTGCCCTGTGTGTTTGTTGCTATCTGCTTCTCCCATGTGCAGACTCTCACTGTCCCCACTGCAACCAGGACACAGATGCTTCTGTCACCACCAAGCTCTCTCTCTTGCTGCCTCTTATTATACCTAGTCCTCTCCCAACAGTCGACTCCAGCCCTGGAAATCGCTAACCTGCTGTCTCCTCTATGTTAGTGAGAATATAAACAAACAAACATACAAACAAATCTAACTAAGTATAAATAAATGAATTCACATGATCTGTATACCTCTTGAGACTGACTCAACCTGATGCTCTTGGAAGCCAAGATTCAAATTTTCAAAATATTCTTAAAAATAGAATGCCAAAAGAGTTGATGTTTTAGGAGGCAACATAGGCTCTGTGAAAACACAGATTTATACAGAGCTTGACAGGGATATGCAGATTCTGTAGTAAAGGGATATGCATTTAAAGTTATATGATAGGACATAGGATTGTGAAGTCCTTTGTTTGGAGCAGCTTGGGGCCAGGTGGCACTGTTGTCCACCATCAAGGCTCTGAAACGGACTCTGTTACCAACTTCTCTGCATAAGAAGGACCTAACCATATTTCTTCTAAAAGGTGGGCACTTTCTTGCCTTGCACTTGGAAAACTGGCCATTTGTTTCCCCTAAAGATTTCATAGAATAAAGAGAAAAATACGTAATGATTTATATATTCTCCCAATGATTTATATATTCAAGTCAAGTGGGGAGTTTTTACAGAAAACTCAAGAGGAGAATCTTGGAGAGTTTGAATCTGCCCTGAACTGACCTGAGGCAGAACCTGGGCACTGTGTGCGTCTTAAAGCTCCACCAGGTGATTCTGATGTGTAGGCAAGGTAGAGAACCATTACCTTACACCCGTTTTCCACTGCCAGTCAGTGGCCTGCCACCGTGGTCATCCCTCTTGGTCAGACAGGGAGCTGTGACAGTGCAGGGGAACCGCCACCTGAGGGGTATGAATCCATTGATCTGAGGGTGACCCAGGTCAAAGTCCAACAAAGGAAACCTCAGCAAACTTCAGTGACTCTAAAGAGCAGTCATGCTTGAGAGCGGCTGGAGATGCAGAGGTTCATGCATCTGTGTTTCTAGGAGGCGAGTGGTGGGCAGGGAAAGACAATAGGGTGTTTTGAGGTTGTTGGGGTAGTAGAAATATTTCTCCTCCTTTGAAACTTTTTCTCTAAGGAATCTTTGGCTGAGAGGCCAGACATTTGTCTTAAGATAATCAGAGACATAACAAGGGTACCTGCATTTGCAGGCCTCCCAAGGGAGAGGGGATCAAAAGACCCCCGCTAGACCCAAAGTGTGATGGCAGCCTCTAGGTGTACCTTGTCCTGGACCCTCCCAAGGAAACCTGGAAAAATCATCTTCCAAGAGCCACAGGTTGTAGTTCGCTTGAGTCCAGGCTGGCTGGCATTTCTTGCTAACAACATTCACACGGAGCAGTGCCATAGCTCATCCGCCGTTTGCATGAAGCCACATGACTGGCACCATTTGAAAATTCCACTTTGAATTCTGAAGTGCCCATTTATCACACATCACAGTCGCCCACACACTCTCCCCTCTGGACATGCTCACGAGCGCCTGTGCCCATTGGGGTTGTAACACACAAATCCAATGTTGGTGGCATGGCGCCCTCTGGCGATCTGGAGTATAAATAACACCTTCAAACTGCATAAGATCTCACAGGAGTTTTTCATTTTAATTCTGTGCCTGTGAGCAGGGTTTTGTTTTTGTAAAGTTCTTAATCTGTTTTATTATTCCTTCTAAATGTTAACCGCCGGTGGAAACCCTTGATGATTTGACAACACACTAGAGCCAAAGCCCACCCATCAGCCGTTTCCTTTCATCCTAAGGCAGTGGGGCCAGAGGGAGTTTGAGAACTATGTCAGTGCTCTTGTGATTAGAGAGTTTGTTCTAACATTTCCCGGAGAAAATCAGAAAGCAAAAATATGTTTTAGTGATGTAAAAGCCGTACACACACATGAACTTATCCGACTTCTTCACTGAGCTGCTGCTGTATTCAGTAAGATCGAGACTCTTCAGGAAAATTAGCACAGTTACCTTCTAGCATAGACCCTTTACTGACAGTTGTGTATTACTGTGTAAAATCAAAATACCTTGTTTTCATCCTTGCGCAGGGGCCATGCTAATCTCTGCATCGTTCCAATTTTAGTATATGTGCTGCCGAAGCAAGCACAGAATACCTTGTTTTCAGCACTGCTGGTTACAGCTGGTAAAAATGGATCCAATGGATTTTTCTGGACAGTTCTATAAAAACATGTTGCTAGGTGTGCGTAGATTTCAAAGTATTTCCTTTAATGTGCATGTTAACACATCCCTTCTCCAGATATTTTTGGGGTGCCTACTGTGTGTCTTGGCGTATACACAGGATCACACATTCTAGTTTCAAAATGGTGTCTCCTTCCCAAAGGTCAAACCAGATTTCTGAATATGTGCAATTCAGAAACACATGTGTGGATGCACCTGTCAGAAAAGCACACAGCAGTATAGATGAGGGTCTTTCAGATGGCAGGAATGCTCTGAAAAAGACACGGCAGGGTGACGGACTAGGAAGGCAGCGAGGAGCGGCTGTCTGTCTCAGACTTGATCAGCATTAGGTCCCAGTCAAGTGAGGATTGCCAGACATGGCAGATAAAAATGCATGATGCCAAGTTTCATTTATTTTTGAATTTCAAGGGGAAAAAAAAGTGAATAACTTCTTAGTGTAAGTGTACTTCCCACCCCCTAATGCTTGGGGCACATTTATACTACAAAGTTTCTGATATGATATCTGGTTAGGCTGGGCGTTGAGTATTTTATGTGGCAACTTTAAGTCAAGCTACAGCATGAGAAAAGATTTTCAGGTGAGGGGTTTCCCAGGAGAAAGACAGCCGGTGGCTATGTATTAACTAATTGTGGCAATGAAGAGCCACCAGTATAAAATTACTCAAAGATTACCTACTGTGTAATCAGATTAGAAAAGGCATTATTGTTGCCATTTCAAATTATTTCAGGATTATATCATTTGAAATGGAAGATTACTAGATACTTTTATATCTTTGTAATTTTTAAAAAAACTATTTGTTTTAAAGGCAAAGTTCACAGGGAGAAAAAGAGGTCTTCCATCTGCTGGTTCACTCCTCAAATGACACATTGGCTAGAGCTGAGCCAATCCAAAGCCAGCAGCCAGGAGCTTCTTCCCACTCTCCCACATGGAGATCCTATGGGGCAGCTTCTGTTGCTTTCCCAGGTACATCAAGGGGAGCTGGTCTGTGAGTGGCATATCAGGACTCCAACTGGCACCCATAGGGGATGCCACGTGCCACACCACAGAGCAGGCCCCAATTCATAAGTATGTTTTAAATGAGAATTGGAGTGGACAAACAAGATTAACTGGAAAGGGACTTTAATCTATATATTAATATCCATTTCTAATTGGCTGCCAATTAGAGCTAGGAGGGACTCTCTTGAAATTAAAACATAAATTTTTATTCTAGCTAAGTTTTACTTGTGTTTGTAAAAGAAATTATATATCTGAAGAGGCTTCATAAAGTTCATGGAAAAAAGGAATTAAATGCTAAGTTTATTTTGGGGCTAAAAAACTTGAAAAGCCTGCATAATTTCTCATTGTATGCATTTTTTTATGAACTTCTGGAAGATTCCTCATATGCATGAATCTTTTAAAAATTAGGCCACAGAAACATTTTTTAAATACTTTTTCCGTGAATTTTTAAAAAATTACCCTCAAATTTCAACTTTGCTTAGAGGAAAGAAAAATAATCATTTTGTGATTTCCAGTTCTTGCAGCCATGCAAGTTACTAATAACCATGGCTAACAGAAACCCATCCTGTAAAGATCTTCACAAAGAAACCACTGCAGGCTGTTTGCTACAAACTGAGTTATTTCAACTGTCTGTTTTTTAAGGATAATTACTTATGTCACAAACAACCTAAATTACTGACGATTAGTATTTATGCTAGCCAATGGCGTGACACCAAAGGAATGGTAATCCTGGTCACGTCACAATAGCAGAGCTAATGGCCACCTTTACATGAACGTTCCAGGGTGGTGCCCACTGGCACATGTTTTCTTAACAGCTTGTCAGGAACATGCGACAGCGCGTGCTGTGGTGGAAATGATCCTGCTGGTCACGGGTACCACTGCCCAGTGAACCATGGGACAGGGGAGGTAAAGCAGAACCGTATTACCTATTTAATTATGCTTTCAGGCTAAAATTGTCATTAATTCTAGTTCTTTGTTGATGTTTTAGCTCGATTAAAAATCTCATTAATGCATGTTGCCACACTCTAATCTCAGCAGCGTCTGTCAAAACAAATTATGAGTGTTTGAGGATTTCTTGGCCAAGAGTTTCACCATGTGGGTCATCCTGTGCCTTCTAGGCTATCTGGGTCACTCGACTCTAGCCTGGGCACAGACAACAGCCAGGCTGGTTCCCCTGGAACTCCCGTGACTTATTAGATCCGCAACAACTTCGGAGTCTGTGGTTCACTAACGATTTGCACTGGGCCATGATGAGTGGGTGGACACTACGTCAGTGAGGTGCCAGCTCTGGCTGCACCACAGTGTGCGCTGGGCCATGATGAGTGGGTGGACACTACGTCAGTGAGGTGCCAGCTCTGGCTGCACCACGGTGTGTGCTGGGCCATGATGAGTGGGTGGACATTATGTTAGTGAGGTGCCAGCCCTGGCTGCACCACGGTGTGCGCTGGGCCATGATGAGTGGGTGGGCACTATGTTAGTGAGGTGCCAGCTCTGGCTGCACCGTGGTGTGCGCTGGGCCATGATGAGTGGGTGGACGCTACGTCAGTGAGGTGCCAGCTCTGGCTGCACCACGGTGTGCGCTGGGCCATGATGAGTGGGTGGACATTATGTTAGTGAGGTGCCAGCCCTGGCTGCACCACGGTGTGCACTGGGCCATGATGAGTGGGTGGGCACTATGTTAGTGAGGTGCCAGCTCTGGCTGCACCGTGGTGTGCGCTGGGCCATGATGAGTGGGTGGACGCTACGTCAGTGAGGTGCCAGCTCTGGCTGCACCACGGTGTGCGCTGGGCCATGATGAGTGGGTGGACATTATGTTAGTGAGGTGCCAGCTCTGGCTGCACCACGGTGTGCGCTGGGCCATGATGAGTGGGTGGACATTATGTCAGTGAGGTGCCAGCTCTGGCTGCACCACGGTGTGCGCTGGCTCTGTAACAACCTGCAGTAACCCCCTAAGTCTTTAGTGCCAAGGAATCAGGTGGATTTGTTGAGTCTGCTGTAGTCAGATGTTTAGGAAGTTGTTCGAGCAACTCAATTTTGAATGAACTGTTAGATTGCCCTAGGAATTCTCTGGATATTAATAGTTGCCAACTCATTTGGGAGCAGAGTAGTTCTGCTGTAGATCTGACCCCAACAAACCCTGTAGTGAAACCATTTGCCAATGCGTTCTTTGCATTCTCTTCAACATCTTATTTCCCATACAGCCCGGGTCAGGAGATTGAATAGCATGAACAAATGACTTGCCTACATTTGTACTGGAGATGTGACTACTGGGAGCATGATAGCTCTGTAAAAATGATCTGATATAATTTAAAGCTTTTGAACCGCTCACTTGGCTAATCATGCCAGTCTTTAAAGAAAGACAAACATGTCTTTAATTAATTTGAAAATTCAACATTCCAGCCTTCACAACTTGTATTAAATGCCTCAGTCACACTTTGTCACCCTTTAAAATTTGGTAGTTACAGATTTATCAAGAAATGAACCTACTATAATAACATAATAATAAGGTGAGTTGAAATAGAGTTACAGTAATGTCAGCTGTTGATTGGACACCCCAGTCTCCCGCGTCTGCCCAGACGAGGGCCGTGAGACTCTGGCCTTGGCTGCTGCACTTTGAGCTCAGTAATGAACACAGCACAGTGTTCACACTCGTCACCCACTGTGGGCTGAAGAGTCACCAGGTTTTAACAATCAGAATCACGGTTATCAGTGACGACTTGGCACGGCGCTGTGGTTTCAGCAGGGATTCACGGGGCCACAGTGCATGCGGTGTGTGTCAGGGCTGAGGAGGAAATGCGACAGGCCCTGACTTGTGAGACTGAACCGAGAGAACATGCTGCAGGTGGGCGATTAGGCCATGGTAACAGCTGCCACGCGGGCCAGAGCAGGGGTGGGTGGGTGGGCGACTGTGTGTCCAGAAGGGAAATCAGACGCCTCCCCCTGCCATCAGCGGCGATAAGTAACCTGAACAAAGTCTTGCAGAACGGCCTCAGTGGCCACTCTTGCCCTTCGTATTCACAGTCAGGGCTCCCGACTCTCTCCAGGGACCATTTCACACACATTTTCTTTCCTTTTAAGACGATGGATCTGGAGGGCAGCAATGACCACACGTCTACATTTAAAGCGGCATCTGTGTCTCAGATGCTGATTGAGGAAATGCGTTGACAGAGAGCAACATGGCAAGGCCACTGCACCTACGGCTGAGTACGCTTGTGGAACCTCGGCAGAGGAATGCAGGCTAGGACTCAGTGTCCTGCTGAACTAATTAGAGCAGGACTACTTCCTGCACTCATTTCTACAGAGATCTTCAAACCCCAAGCTTGGGTCTTTACTCCTTAATTATACTGAAAGAACAAATAGTTTATGTAGCTGGGGCCAAGTATGTTTCCTTATCATGTGTTGTTTTCAGCACTAATTATCTCTTCCGTTATTTACTTAGTTTTATTCTTTCCCAGGCTGATTTCTTAGAAAACAATTTACATTATTTTAGAAATGACCTTTATTAAAAATATGCTGAGCCTTAATGCTCCCTGTGGACGGTGCCTTAGTGGAAGCGGGTTCAGAAATGGGGCAGCTGGGACTTATATTACATATCTCCACATGGGATGTGGGTGACCCCAGCAGCAACATAGGGTGCTGCACCAAATTCCTGCCCTGTAACTTTGTTTCTATTGATATATGCAGCCTACTCTTAGAGATCTTCCCATCCCCCGTGCCGATAAAACCCCCAAAGCCAACAACCTCTGCACAGAAAACTTCACTCTCTGCGGCCTATTCTAGGTCTTTCCAGTAGGAATCACAGGCAGGTGTACCTGCAGGCACTTAATGAATAACAGAACAGCTATGACCAGGTACCCTAGTAAATCCTCCAGCTGTGAAAAGCTACTGAGGTGGTCCTTGTTTCCTTTCGCTATGGTGCTACAGTTCATCAGCCTTCTTAAGATTTTCAAAGGAAATGATTTTAACATAGCAGCTAATAAAAAAGATGGCTGGTGACCAGGGGTGGGTGGTGTGGGTCGCTGAGGGGTTTTTGAGAGTAGCCGCAAAATCGGCAGCTCACACACTAAAAGGCAACTCTGCATCCTTTCATAGCAGTAGTCCTAGAGGGGGGAGACTTAGGCAGTTCTGCAAGATTCAAGAGACCCGGTGTAGGGGGTGCCCTGGCTTCCTTCAACTTAAAAATATGACCAAGCTCATCTTTCTTCAGTTGCCCACAGCACAGGGCAGGGCCTAGGATGTTCAATTTTTTATCAGGCTGGTAAAAACATCTCTGGTACCCTCATAAACAACAGTGGGCAGCCTGAAGCCAGCGAAAGTGAGAGTGACTGTCAGGTGAGGGGTCAGGTAGGGGTCGGGGTGACGTGTGTAGGTTGAGGAATTCAGCAGAACCCTCGCCTTCGCCCAGGGGGACAGCTCTGACCCAGTTTCTTGGGACACAGGCACCGTGTCCTTCCAGTTCCTTCACAGGTCCAGGCCTGATAATGGGACCTCTGCCTTTTCGCCTCTGCCTTGCCGGGAAGGTGGAACACACGCCAAGTGCAATCTCCTGCCGTGCTAAATTACAGCATTCAGGAAAATGTGGGGCCTTGCCAAAGGCCATATCTCAAAAAAGTTACTGCTTCGAATAAATGTGCCATTTTATAAAATTACACCTACTGTACCAGGAAAAAAAAGTTCTTTCATGTGAGTGACATTTGTATGACTGCCATTTGTAGCGAATGGGACATTCTCACACAGCCAGCCTGGAGAAGGGTTTCGGAGTCTCCTTTGAATGCCAAGTGGGGTAAAACTCGAAGGTGCTTCTGCCGGAAGAGAATGCCCAGCTGGGCAGTTTCCTTAAAAAATGAAGCCAGCGTTTTTATGAATATAAGTAATTATTAAGTTTTACCGGCAACATTAGCAAGATTTCTGGCATTTTAAACCTGCAGGTTTCTTGCACTCCGGATTGTCCGCTTGTGACCCTGGGAACCAGGCGCCTTTTAGTTTGCACCTGGGGAAGGTGAGGTGTCTCCGTCCCTCCCCGGTTCTGCAATCATTTCTGTCCCTTAGGAAAATCCCAAGCAACTTTGCACCAGTCTCCGGACAAGCAGCAGATCCGGGCTTTATTGACTCTCTGCAGTAAACTAGATTCCTAACAGCCGCTTCTGCCAAAGCTAATACTAAATCATTTCAGGGAATAGAAGGCTAAGATCGCAGGACAAATGTTCAGCTCTGGGCATGAAGGGGCAAGCGCCCTTTCGCCAGGCGCCCCTGTGATGTGGATCCAGGGACAGGAAGCCAAGCCCTGTCCACCCTCCTGCAGATCAACCTGCATACCCTGGTAGAGAAATGAAGACCAAGTTTCCGCAAACTTGTGGACTTGCTTCCCAGCGAGGCAGGCGCGCCTCTCAGTACAAGTGTGCTGGGAACCGGGCCCTGAAAAACAGACAGATCAGGAAACCCGCGTGCGCGCGGAGGAGAAGGCGAAGGCTGCACAGCACTCGCCCGCCACACGACCCACCTGCAGGAGAGGCGCCTCCAGGGCGGATGGGGTCACGCGACGGCAGCCAGGCGGGGAGAGCGCAGTTCCAGGCTCCGCGGCACAGACAGCTCCGGGTTCGGGGCGGGCGGGCGGCTCTCACAGGTATAAGAAGCCAGAGCCCGGAGGGAGGGCCTGCTAGATTGCGTAAGAGCAGCGGTTTAGAAAGCGCTTCCAGGCAGAGCTGGCGCTGGGAACCCTGAGCAGCAGGAAGGACCAGAATTTCCCATTCGGCTGCTCTGGTCGCTGCCCAGTGAGCTGACCTGGCGACCTTGGGGTGTTCGGGGTTTTCCACCAGCCCTCTGGGTGGGCGCGTCCCAGTCTGATAGCCTCCGGGGAGCCTTCCTCCAGGAGCCTGAGGGCCGGCTCAGCTTCCAGTTGGCTCTCATTCCCGTGGAGTCGCAGGTGACAGATAAGGGCGACATCGCCCCCCACTGCCTGGGAGCCCTGGCTGCATGCGGGGCCCACCGAGTGACTGATGATGAGTTTTCCTTCCAGAGAAGCTCGCCAAACAGGAGCAAAATATGCTACTATATGGAGTTTTCTCTCTGGATCTTTGAGGGTTTGGTTCTGGGACCTTTGAGAATTCCAGAATCTTCAAATGTTCAGATCCCTGACGAAATGGTGTGTGTGTGTGTGGGGGGGGTCATCTACACACTCCCTCCCACTTTGTCTCTGTTCTTACAATACCCATTGCAGTGTCACTGGGACTGTGTCATGTTGTACAGGGGAAAGTCTGCACATACCCAGTGCAGGTGCAGTTTTGTTCTGAATAGTTTTTAGTTTGTGACTGGTTCAGTCTGTGGATGGGCAACTCATGGATACAGAAACCAATGGCACATACAACCGTACTGGTGTCTTTCAGTTTTGTGTTTCTTTGTTCATTTACTTGGATGGAGCTAGAAACGGAAAAAGATCTTGACTTCCCTGATTGACATCTCAAATGCCTGCAGTCACTTGGGCTGGGCCAGGCCAAAGTCAGGAGCCCAGAACTTAAACAGGAATCTAAGCCCTTGAGCCATCACCACTGCCTCCCCAGGTGCCCAATAGTGGTGGATAACATAAAAGCAGAGCTGAGATGTAAACCCCAGTGCTCCATTATGGGATGCAGGCTACACCAAAGGCTTGGTGTCCTGTCTATGCAGAAGGAGCTTAAAACTCTGGCATGCTGGCTTAACATTTAACCATTATAACCAAAGGAGCAACCCCCGCCCCCCAAATGTGGCAGTCTAGAAACATACCACCTCCAGAAGACATGCCTGTCTTTCACCCAGGCATCTGGACTTAAATTTCATGTCTGCCAGAGGCTTTGTCATATGGGTGGACCGTTCCCAGCTCTTGTGAGCCAACCTTCTGTTTTCCTGGTTCTCAGCTCTCCCTAGAGTGTCTTATGGACCCACCCCAGACCCTCTTGTCTTCCAAGAAATCTTTGCAAAGCCACTGGTGGCAATTAGATAGTTCATTTCTGTATGCAGTGAAATCTCAGAACTTGCCAAACTAACACACTGTTTTAGGAGGAACTGTAACTTCAGAAAGAGCTGTTTGGCCAGTGTTTTCTTTCGTGCAGAAAGCAGTAAGTGTTAATTCTTCTGGGGTAGTGTCTTTCACATCACCAAGACTGGAAAACAGCCTTGCTCACCATAGACTCCTAGCTGGGGCTACAGTGAATCTGAATAAACAAACTCTTCTGAGTAACCTTTGTTTTCTACCAGCTTCTAGATCACTGTTCCACAGGTCTCAGTAACATCTTTGTTATGATCTAGTCCACATATCCATTGGTCTTGTAATTCCTCCATGGGTTTATTGTTCTTTGTCTAAACTGTTTAGGAAAGTCATGCATTATTCATTTCGGGACTTCTTGCAAAGACTGCCCCTGCCACTCCCCAGGACATGAATATTTTATGGAGCTTTCATGCTTTTTTTCTCCCTTGATATGTACTGCTTGTTTCCATTGGCTTTCTTAGAATCCTCCCAAGAGCCTGTGCAAAAACTAAGCAATTGGGTCGATGTCTTGCTTGCCTACCGCAGTGTAGTTTCTGTGTTCGGCTTGCAGCCAGGAGCTCAGGAGAGCTGTTTCGGGTGGGTCTCCTCTTTGCGAATACAACTCCAAAGCTCCTGTTTTTGTCTGGACCGGCCCACCATACTGAGCATGGCGCTTGGCTTGTCATCAGCCTGCAGACTTAGTGCACTCACTATTCATGAGTCTATTGGCCATGATTGTGTTTGCAGAGACTGTGCTAGTCTCTTCCAAGGCCAGAGAAAACTTATAAACCCATGTGGCTTCCGTGGCAGCTGGTTTTCCCAGGTTCAAGACTGACAAGCCAGAGAAAAATCTATCTGTAGGGCAAAAAGTTTCATGGGTGGGGTTCTGTGATGAATTGGGCAACATCTGGATTTAAGTTTTACAGGCACAAAACTTGATTCTTAGCACGCTGGCTGTGACGCTAATGGTGACAACTAGAACGTAGGCTTGTTGTCTGTGGTATATAAGGCAGATAGTTGCAGAGAACTGGTTTTAGGCCACCACACATTCCAGTCACCACACATTCTTCTTGCAGGTGCATCCCCTGAAAGTCATGTTATATCCAGAAAGCTGCTGGATAAGACGGGAGTAACCAGCTTCACTGGTTAAGAGTAACCTGTGTCCATGGTGGTCTGTGTCACCAGACACAGATGGCTGGGATCTGTGCACTGGGTCATTGTGGTTTCTCGATGGTGTTAGGATCCACTCTGAGTTGAAATAATGGACAACCATACAGCCACATGCTGCCCTCAACTAATAACAGAAATGGTGCTTTAATCACTTGTCATGTTTAGGTGGGTGAAAAATCTTGAAGCCCAATTATTGTGAGAGGCAGATATATTTCAGTTCTGTAAGCTCGTTTTTCTTTGTTGTTCTTTTGCTTCAGGCAACCAGAGTCCTAGCAAAGGAAGATTAAATTACTGAGATATGAGAGAAAAATTGCCTTTATTAGTAGTAAACTTAAGAGACACTTGGCTTATTTATGTTTTGGTTTAAAGATTTATTTCCACCTGAGGCCTAGCAGGGACACACAATTCATAAACTTTCCTTAAACCCTTGCTGTAGGGGAAAATTAAGCTTCCCAAAGATGCCAGCAACCTGAATAGCAGGAGGATTTGCTGTTGGCAGGACTGCTCTTTCTTGCTGTGGTCTTACTGACAGAACCCCAGGCAGATTTTCCCAGATGTTTAGGGATTTCCACGTTCAGCGGGCTGCTGAGACTTGCTGACGACTTCTTTACTCACTAGTCCACTGCCCCAAAGCCACCCAAAAGCAGATGCTCAGCAGATTGGTGATGCTCTACTGTCAGTGTTCACCAGGCTTCATCAAGTGATTCACTAAAAGGGCTTTTTACATTGAAGTAATCTCTCCTGGGTCCTTCCTTTTTCAGGGTCTCCCCTCTGCGCTGTCTTAGGTCTTGGCTTCTTTGCTTCCTCTAGTATTCACCTTACCACCACTAAAAAAGAAGTTTTTAAAAATTTTTATTTGAAAGCAGAGAGAGAGGAGAGAAGAGGAAAGGAGGGAAGGAGAAAGCAGAGAAGAGGGAAATGGAGGAGAGGGGAGAGAAGGGGAAGGAGAATGGAGGGAACGCGTGGGGAAAGGAGGGGAGAGAGAATCTTCACTCTGCTGGTTCACTTTTTTCCTAAATGCCTCGAGCATCTGGGACAGGGCCATGCCAGGAGCCAGGAACCCTATCTGGACATGGGCAGCAGGGACTCACGGAACTGAGCTTGTACCTGCTGCCTCTTAAGCTCCGAATGACCAAGATATTGGACTGGATTGGAGGAAGGACTAGACCTCAGGCACTGATAAGATCTGAGTGGCAGATGAACCCTTGCCCAATGGATGCCCTCCATCACACTTTATTATGGGTGGGCTTCCAACAAATACTGATCCTGGAGGTGACTTGATCTGTTATTAGCATTTGTGTATGAAGAACTCATTGACTGAAGGATTCACCCACTTCCTGGCTTTGAGAAAAATATATATAATGGGAGAATTCCTAAAGGACTGTAACCAATGAAATTACTATCTATTCAAGGATATTTCAGGAATCCTGGAACATGCCTTTGAATGACTTCTGTTTTCCTAGCGTTTGGAGCTGGACTAGAGTAAGGCGAGGGAGGAGGGGAGAACACTGAAGTTGAGGAGCTGTTCACATTGAAAAGTTACTCTGCATGAATCCAAAAACGTGTCTAAGGTTTGGCTGCACTTGGTGTCTCCCTGGTCCCCTCCCTCCTGGCTCTGCAGTATCCCCATTCCTTTCAGCTAACTATAGCTTTCCTTTCCTTTCCTACATACCCTGGCACTATGTTGGAGCTGGTGTTAAGGTTCAGGTGAGGATCTGTGGGATCTGACAAGTGGCAGGTGATTCAGGCCTGGCTCATGAAAGCAGAGAAATTGTCCGTGCTGATTGGTTTACTGGCAGCATGTGATCTGGTCTAGGCCAATAGGAATCCTTTAGGTAACAATTCAGGTAGCCACATATTCTTTTCTGAAGGCTGTTCATTTACTTGGTCCCTAGAAGGAGACAGGGAGCCTGAGAAATAAAGCTGGTTCAGGGAAAAAGAGAGCAAAGAGAAGGGGAGAGACTGATTTCTGAAAATGTTGGACTACATACCTGAAGACAGCTTTCTTCCTCCTCAGCTTTTTAATTCCATAAGTCATTTGTGGGGTTAAAGGGGGCTGGTTTGTGTCAAAATGAGTTAGGCAGCCACCTGCAATGCCATCGTCTCTATGAATGCTGGTTGCTACACTTCCAATCCACTTCCTTGCTAACATACCTGGGAAAACTGCTGAAGATGGCTCAAGCACTTGGGGTCCTGCCGTCCATGTCTACTTCAGCTATGCTGATGAAGCTCCTGGCTTTGATCCTGACTAGCCTGGCTGTAGGAGGCCATTTGTGAAGTAAACCAGGTGGTAGTTGTGTTTCCCATCCTCTCGCTCTATAGATCTGCCTTGCAGATAAACACATTTGTTTGTTTAAGTTGGGTATCTGTTGTTTATGTGGTCCTGATGGATAAGAGTTTTGAGGACCCATGTGCAGTTCTGG